GCGATCCCAGCAAGGCAATTCTCAACCCTCAACCCCTCTGCTCTGCCTCTCCCCACAGGGACGTGCCGCTAGCTGGAGACCACCATGACGGACTCGAAGTACTTCACCACCACGAAGAAAGGTAAGGGAGAGGGACAGGGAGGGTCACGCAATTTTTCCTGCTCTTTTTACAGCTGGATAAGCCAAGCAGGGAGGGTTGTCCCCGCAGCGGGAAGCTGGTGGAGGTGCCGGCTCTCGTGGGAATGCCCTGAGCCCATGCGGGATGGGGGGGCTGACACCTTGCTCCTCGCTCCGACGCAACCGGGACGGCTCCTGGGCTGCCGTGGGGTCAGAGCATCTTGTCCCCAACCCCCTGGACCCAGCCAAGGCTGTTGGCAGCTGGGTTGTCGGCTTTAGCAGCTCGGGAGCGGCTGCGGGACACGACCCCCTGCCCTGAGCTCCCCTGGATGGGCTGAGACAGAAGCGCTCGGGGTGTTCGACTTAAGCTCTTTCCAGGCCAAGGAATTAATATTCCTTGAAGAAAGCCATGTGGCATCTTCCTCTTCAATCTGCTTGCCCAGGAGGGAATAAAGAACTCGGGGTGGGAGGCCATGCCCTTGGGCTGGGTCCAGAGCTGACTGGGCGCCCCCAGCAAGGTGCTGGGCTGGGGGTTTGCTGCCACGTGCAGAGCGGGATTTGGGAGCTGCCGTCCCCTTCGTGGGCTTGAGGAGCGGTTCCCCAAATCCTCCTGCGTTCACCGCTGCCGTCGTACGGGCTGCGGTGCGCTCCCCAGGTAGGGGAGGGCCTCGCAACAGCCGTGCGTGGGGCTGGGGCTTCGCTGTGTGCTGTGATAACTGCCCTGAAGCCAAAAATACCTGCCGAATAAACCCCACGTCCCGTGCTCGAGGTGCGGAGCGCTCGTGCGCATCACTCCTGTAGCGTCTCCCGTCCCTAAAGCCCTCTGGGGCTCTGGTGGGGCTGGAGAAGCCGCAGGGATGCGCCACCAGGCTCGTCTCCGTTTCCGCCGATGAGAGCTGAGCCCCCAGAGCGACCCCGGCCCTCGACGTGACATTTGGGACGTTAAAATCCCCCTTTCCAGCTCCTGGCACCCTGAAGGACCCGGGGTGGCAAAGGAGCCCTGGCACACAGCGGGTGGGAGGTGGGCTCGCCCTCTTTTGGGAGCAGCACCCAGCGGAGAGGTGGGTGCCCCATCCCCTAACCCCCGAGCTCCCCGTTTTTCCCCTTCCTCCAGGGGAGATATTTGAGCTGAAAGCCGAACTGAACAGCGACAAGAAGGAGAAGAAGAAGGAAGCCGTGAAGAAGGTGATAGCGTCCATGACCGTCGGCAAAGACGTCAGGTACGTGACGGCGCTGTGCCGGGGGCGCCCGAGCCAAACCGTGCCGGGAGGGCGCCCGGATGGTTTGCGGGCTCCTGGTTTTCTCCGGTTGCTTCCGAGGAGTTTTTGTGCTGGTTTTCGTCTTAGGTGAGGACTGAGCGAGCCGCTCTACCTCCTGCTTCGGGAGGAAAATGTTTGTGTAAGCGTGGCCGTCTGGCAGGCGGGGGTTTGCCTGGCTTTGGTGGTAAGCTGGCTGAAAGAGGATTGGTCTGGCCGCCAGATAAGTTTGTTGGGATTATTGCCTCTTCCTTCAGGTGTTACTAAAAACGAGCAGATACCCCCCACTCTGAGCCTTTAAGGCAGACGGTCGGTGTCTCTGCCCCCGTGTCGATAAGCCTTTCGCCGCCGCTTCAGTCCGAAAGGTCGGGCGGCTGCTTTGCCCTCTTCTCCTTTATCCGTCTGACCGAGCAGCGTGCGGTCCCTCTGTCCCCTCCTCCCCGCACAGCTTTGGCATTCCGCGCACCGCCGGCGCTTTGCTTTTCCCGGGGCTTTTTGAGAGTAGATAGAGGAAAACCACGGCGTGAGCCCCGCGTTCGGAAAAGCGGGGTGTCCCTGACTCCCAGAGCGCTCGCGGCAGCGGGTAATTTCTTGGGGCCACCGTGGAGAAGATGACACCGGACATGGCAGGGACTTGCTCGAAGCTGATCAGGGCTCAGCAGAAGCTACATCGATTGGAAAGGAACTAGTGACTGTGGCAGCCCCTTTTTTTTTTGGGTGGTTTTTTGGGGTGTGCGTATTTTAGGCTGCAGGAAAGCACTTTCTAAGTTCATCCCTCCCTGGGAGGTGCCAGGAAAACCTGGTTTGGGCTGGAGTGAGAGCCGCTGAGGTGGGTGGCAGCTCTGCTGGCAGCAGGAGCTCTGTGAGAGAGAGAGAGGGAAAACTAGCAAAACGCCCGTCCCGTGGGTTTAGGGGGTGCCTGGGTCTGATCCCGTACGCGATGGCTGCGTTTGCGGTGGCATCGACACTTCCAGGAGCCACGGGACATCTGTCGGGGTGGGATAACTCCTGCGTTAACCCTCTGATCTTGATTGCCTCTCCGAAGGTGGTTTAATAGTCTAATTGGGCTGTCTGTATTTTTAATAGTCTAATCGGTTTGTCTTTATGGTGAAACAGCATCTCTGTAGCATCCTATGGGGGGGGGGGGGGGGGTTGGGAAGGGGGAGCCCCCAGTTCCGTGCAGGCAGCTCGGTAGCTCCGCTCCGTCCTCGGAGATCGTCGCGCTGTTCCTCACACCCGGTCCTGGGCGTTTATTTCTCTAACGTGACATTTCTAGCGTAGGACGTGGCGGGGAGCGCTCAACGGTTTGCAGCCGGACAGGCTTAACGTCTGCAAAAGCAGAGGACGGTTGTGGTAGGGCTGTGCGGGAGGGATTCTGTAGAAGGTGAGGGAAACGGCTCGTCTCCCATGCGTTGTCGCAGGTGCCAGAGGTTTTCGCACCGTCCTGTGATGGCGGGGCCGTGTTGCACCTTCTCCCAGGGCAGTGGACACGCACTGGAGCTGGGATGCAACAGAGCTGCGTGGGAGAGCTCAGTTTCTGTCCTTTGAGCTGCTTTTGGTACAGATCCATAAAGGAAAACCCGCTGGCCGTGGGTGATTTAGCCACATCTGTTGCAGAGTGGGCTAAGGTCCTGCGAGAACCAGCAGTCTCCTGGCTTCAGGCTTGGGTTGAGCGGTGGGAAGGGGATGGCCGTGCTCCTGGGGAAGCGTAGGGTCCCGTAGGCAGCGGCGTCTCCTTCCCCCGGCCGTGTCCTGCCTTCACAGAATCTTCAGAGTTGGAAGGGACCTCTAGAGCTCACCCAGCCCCACTCCCCTGCTAACGCAGGACTGCCCAGAGCGCATCGCTCAGGACTGCATCCAGGCGGGTCTTGAAAACCTCCAGAGAAGGGCACTCCACCCCCTCCCTGGGCAGCCTCTGCCACTGCTCTGTCACCCCAACCCTAAAGAAGTTCTTCCGTGTGTTGGAACGGAACTTCCTCTGTTCCAACTTGT